AAAGAGAGTCTCTCCCTAAAGTCTCATCCCACGGGCACATCTTGACTATGAAAAGTAGAGAGATAAATCACGCATAAAAGCTGCCATTTCTATTCAATCCTGCTCAGCCTCCAAAACGAAGGAAAACTCGTTCCTCGTCCCGTATCAATGAGGTACGTCGTTGCCTTGACTACTCTCGCTTCATTGACTTTTTAGCCCTAGCTATTACTATTCCATTTTAAGGGAAAGAAGGATCTTTCTTCTCTAGAGCTCTCTACGGTGAATATGACAATGTTATGAACCATACAAGCACACATGAAGAATTCTATCTCAAGGTTTAATTATGTCTAAATGATTGACAATGAGGCAGATCATGGACCATACAAGCACGCGTGAAGAATTCTATCTCAAGGTTAAATTGTGTCTAAATGATTGAAAATTAGGCACATCATGGACCATACAAGTGCCAAACAATCCACGTTTTCTTAAGATGGCATGTACATGATTCAATCAACTCCAATCAATGTTTTAGGAGCTAGCTTGGCACATATAATAAGTAAGAGCATATTACTTTTTAGATACTATTCATCTCAAATATTTTATATAAGCTATACTTTGGACAGAGTTAATATCTCAATAAAGCAACAACAAAGAAACCAAAACCCGATGGGTCTAGGTGGAAGCCTAACAGCCCTTATTAGATTTTGATTGTGTTTTCGCTAAAAAAAAAATAAAAATAAATACGAAGCGCTTATTTAGCATTAAACATAAAGGGAGCATTCACAATAGACAATTTACTAATTTTTTTTTTTTAATTTGGCACGTGGACTATAAAAAGGCCTTCAAAATTCAAACCTGTGTTTGAATCACATGACAATGGAAATTCCATATTATCAACACGATTGAGCTATGTTTTTCGGTATACTTTATTGAAAGTTCGAATTTTTCAAACTTTGAGAAATGTAAATAATTTGATGTTTTACCTGTATCGAAAAACAGGGGGCAAGTGTGTATTATGTACAAGATAACAACTAAAATCACTATTATAGTTATTCTAGCATATGTCAGTTCAATAATTCATAGCAAGTTTGGAAAATTGATGGCCAAATAATAACTAAATTCACTTTTATAGTTATTGTGACAGATGCCAATTCAATAATTCATGGCAAGTTTGAAAAATTGATGGCCAAATAATCACATACCACTTAGCCACACTTATGACAGAAGCGAATAGATGTCCCCCCCCCCCACCCCAGGCGTGGGACCCACTTGAATATAAAAATGCCAACCTCACTGTGTTTGTGTCTGTTCGGTCAGTCCATCTGTTAGGGCATCTATTGTTGTAGCACCCTTCTAACAAAATTTGGCATGTGGACCAAAAAATTGGCCTTCAAATTGCAAACCTGTCTTTGAATCACATGAGTAGGGAAATTCTATCTTATCAACCCAATTGAGCTAAGTTTTTAGGTGTACATTTTTGAACGTTCGAATTTCTCAAACATTGAGAAATGTAAATAATATGATGTTTTACCTCTATTAGAAAAAAAAGTAAATAAATAATAAATAAATAAATAAAGGGAAAAAAAACAAAAGGGCAGGTATGTAATATGTACAAGTTAACAACTAAAATCACTTTTATCGTTATGGTAATTATAGTACCACTACAAATTTTACTAAGTGCACCACAATTTTCTTATTTATTAAAACGTCCTTAAGTAAAATTACACAATTAGAATTTTAATATACTTTCTAATTAAATAAATTATTATTACACCACAAATATAAAGCATAATTTTTTTCTTTCTTTTTCTCAACATCACTTCATTCATAATTTTTCCAGGGGCTTTTGCTTTCTTCCATGGCGACAAGATAATTTTTTTCCCTTACAGTAAATGAATTATTTTTCAAGTTTGAAAATTAAGAATCTGATTTTTTTATTTATTTATTTGTGTTAAGTTAAACAGATTTGTTATAATTTTAAAACAAATACGTAAGATTATGATTTTTAATTGTTAAATGGGCTTATGAATTTATGCGTATATATACTCACCATAGTTCCATGAATTGCGTGCATTCATCATGTGAGACATACACAGGCTGCACCACTCATTATCGTGAATTGCATGTGTATAGGTAAACCATAAATGAATTTGTGTTTATATAGGTGCGTCAGCTTTCGTGGATTTTTGTCAATGGGGTACATGAATTTTTGAAAGTTGTTCTTAATCAACAAGAAAATTTTATTGTTATATTGTATTTTTTACATGATCGTAATAAATTTAATTTTTTTTATGTCCATGGGTGTCCGAGTCAACTCACGTGCACTTCGACTAATTTCACGGGGCCTTTAAGTTTATAATCAGGTACTCACCTCAATGGCCCTGATGAGACTCGAACTGGTGACCATTGGGGAGCAAACTCAAAGCTTAACCATTAAGCTACTCCTCAGGGTTAAATTTATTATTTTTTTTATAACTTCTCATAATTCAATTTTATTTGTCCTAAATGTTAGGAAAATGATGACGACTTCAATAAATACGATTATACGCAATACTTTACTACTGATCAAGTATGAATAAATCGAATATAAAATTTATGTCTATTAATTCAATTATGAAACATGTCCAATTTATCAAAAATATGTCATAAATGCTTCCTCAAGTTGGGTTTAAAAGTGTTCGATGAATTATTGAGAAATTATAAGGTCGTTGTCGATAAAATTTCTTAATTTCCACTTAAAAGTGTTTTCAAAGTAGACTTCCAAGCTTAAAAAAATGAAATTCCGAATACATTAAAAATTCATATTTCAAATAAAAATGGTAACATAAACAAATTACTGACAACTCCAAAGGATCCTGTCAGACATATTAATTATTTGTGACATAAATTCAGTTTATTATAGCATTGTGTTCTTCACCGATCTTCTGTTTTCAATTGTCGTGAAATAAATGAGGGGAAAGGTTGAGAAAATGAGGATTAATATTGGTGATAAGTACACTACAATATTAAATTATGCTCTTTTTTCAATTCTTCGTTTTATTAAATTAGGATTATAATTGTAAATTTATTGTGGTGTATTTATTAAAATATATTTTAATTGTGGTATAATTATAATGTGGTGTAGTAATTAAAATTTGTAATGGTAATATAATTAGCCTTATAGTTATTCTAGCATATGTCAATTCAACAATTCATAGCAAGTTTGGAAATTGATGGCCAAATAATAACTAAAATCACTATTATAGTTATTCTGGTAGATTTCAATTCAATAACTCATGGCAATTTTGGCAAATTGATGGCCAAATAATCACGTCCCACTCAACTACACTTACAGTAGAAGCTAAATAGCACACGTGAAGAATTCAATTTCAAAGTTTAATTGAGTGTAAATTATTGAAAATTAGGCAGATCATGGACGATACAAGCACACGTGAAGAATTCTATTTCAAGGTTTTAATTGTGGCTAAATGGTTGAAAATTGGGCAGATCATGGACCATACATGTGCCAAACAATCCACGTTTTCTTAAGATGGCATGTACATGATTCAATAAACTCCAATCAATGTTTTAGGAGCTAGTTTGGCATATTTAATAAGTAAGAGCATATTACTTTTTAGATAACTATTCATCTCAATTTTTTCGTATAAGTTATACTTTGGAGAGAGTTGATATCTCAATAAAGCAACAACAAAGAAACCATGGAAGCCTAATAGCCCTTATTAGATTTTGACGGTATTTTTGTTAAAAAAAATAAACTAAAAATAAAAATAAATACGAAATGTTTATTTAGCATTAAACATAAAGTGAGTATTAACAATCAACAATTTACTAATTTTTTTGTTTTTTAATTTGGTATGTGGACTAGAAAGTTCAAACCTGTGTTTGAATCACATGACAATGTATATTCCATATTATCAACATGATTGTGCTATGTTTTTATGTATGCATTATTGAAAGTTCGAATTTTTCGAACTTTGAGATATGTAAATAATTCAATGTTTTACCTCTATCGAAATACAGGGAGCAAGTGTGTAATATGTACAAGATAACAACTAAAATCACTATTATAGTTATTCTAGCATATGTCAATTCAATAATTCATAGCAAGTTTGGAAAATTGATGGCCAAATAATAACTAAATTCACTTTTATAGTTATTCTGGCAGTTGAAAGTGACCTTGAACCCAGGAGATGTCTTGTATGGTGTATGTCGATAAGGAGCATGAGAACGATGAGCATGACTACGACAAGAAAATAAAGGGCGTCGATAGAGGTTGCTATGAATTTTCCAAACTTGCGATAAATTATTAAATTGACATATGCCAGAATAACTATAATAGTGATTTTAATTATTATTTGGCCATCAATTTTCCAAACTTGCTATGTACTATTGAATTGACATCTGCCAGAATAACTATAATAGTGATTTTAGTTGTTATCTTGTACATATTACACACTTGCCCCAAGTTTTTCGATAGAAGTAAAACATCATATTATTTACATTTCTCAAAGTTTGAAAAATTCGAACTTTCAATAAAGTATACATAGAAAAATAGCTCAATCGTTTGATAATATGGAATTTCCATTGTCATGTGATTCAAACACAAGTTTGAAGGCCTCTTTCTAGTCCACATGCCAAATTAAAAAAAAATAAAAAATAATAAAAAATGGAAATTGTTTTTTTGTGATCATGCATTTTATGTTTAATGCAAAATAAGGGCTTCTTAGTTATTTATAAAAAAAAATTTAGTGAGAATACCATCAAATTTTGATAAGGGCTGCCTCCACCTAAACCCATCGGGTTTTGACTTCTTTGTTCTTGCTTTATTGAGATATCAACTCTGTCCAAAATATAGCCTATATAAAATATTTGAGATAAACAGTTATCTAAAAAGTAATATGCTCTTACTTATCACATACGCCAAACTAGCTCCTAAAACACTGATTTGAGTTGATAGAATCATGTACATGCCTACTTAAGAAAACATGGATTGTTTGGCTCATGTATGATCCATGATCTGCCTAATTTTCAATCATTTAGATACAATTAAATATTGAACTAGAATTCTTCACGTGTGCATATTCTGCATATAAATATCGCTGCATGCACTTGCTAAAAAGCCACTGATTAGTTGCTGGAAACGGTGGAAACTCAAAGACAGACCTTCATTTCTTTGATACTTCTATTATTTTTGAAAAAATGTTTGCCTTCACTACCTTCATGATTTTGGCTCATTGCTGTGGTTTTATAAGTTGTGTATTTTTATTTCAACAGTCTCCACACGCTTTCGAACATAAGGATATCTTCATATTAGCGGGCCAAAGCAACATGGCTGGCCGGGGAGGTGTGAAGAATCGTAATTGGGATCATATTATCCCTCCTGAATGTAGTTCAAAGCCAACGATCCTTCGGCTTACCGCAACGCTAATGTGGGAGGAGGCACACGAACCTCTACATGAGGACATGGATCCAAATAAAACTTGTGGGGTGGGACCTGGATTAGCGTTTGCCAATTCACTGCTGGGACGAAATCCTAGCATAGGGGTAATTGGTTTAGTCCCTTGCGCCTTCGGTGGATCAAGTATAGAGCAGTGGAAACGAGGCTCGAAACTATATAATCGACTCATAAAGAGGGCTGAGGCAGCGCTACAAGATGGAGGGCAGATTCGTGCACTTCTATGGTACCAAGGTGAGAATGATACTATAAATAAATCGGATGCCGAACTGTATAAGATGCGATCGGAAGAATTTTTCATCGATATCCGCACCGATTTAGCCTCCCCAACCCTCCCAATTGTTCAGGTAATTTTATTCGTCTAGTTTATTACATGCAGTTTATTATTTCTCTATTAGAATTAGCGAATTTTCACCAAACACTATGGTTATCCAAATAGGTGGCGTTGGCATCAGCACTAGGACCATATATCGACATAGTAAGAAAGGCCCAGCTCGGAATTGACCTTCCAAACATCACATGTGTAGATGCCAAAGGACTGGAGTTGATGGAAGATGGAGTGCACCTTAAAACTTCAGCACAAGTCTGTCTCGGGAAGATGTTGGCGGATGCCTTCCTCCGCTTGAGACTCGTGTGAACCTTGCTCGAGCCATTTTTATACTACACTAACAAAGACGCTTTAAGCTCTTACTCTTTTTTATTAATTTTCCGAGTCATTTGTAACCATATAAAAGTTTATTTTGAATTATATTTCTTTTGACTATTTTAGTTTTTTAGTAACATTATCTCTTCCAAAATCTCAAAGATACAGAAAAACCTTTTGTTCAAGAAATTACATATAGTAAACTAGTGAACATTTTACGTGCCATATTATGGTTTTGTTGGTATTTTGTGTAACAGTCGTATCACTTAATAGACCATTTTCCATAATTCCTTCCATAAAAACTCGTATTCCATGGACCTTGGATTTATATATATGAGTAATTTAATGAGATTGACGTTTTGATAATATTTCATATTGTTTCTGGTGTAAAACAGAGATTTAAATACTATCATTCAATTGCCAATACAACATTGCCCCTATCAGTCTAGATTAAAATGATATTTTAGTACATTTTGATCAAAATTAATGAAATATATAGTTGAAAAGTTGTGGTTGCTAAATTTAATTACTGACTTTTATTGAGATCAAAAATAGATTTTAATATTTAACAAAAACAGGCATAGCCCATTTTAAGTGTTCAATGAAAAAATATCGATGTCGTGTTGGAGCCATATCCATTCAATGTATCTCCATATTTTTTACCATTTGCTTTGATGTATGACTAAATTAGGAAGTTTTAAATTTGAAGTAGAATGAAAACTAGATATATTAATGATTATGAACTTAGATTACAACACCACAATAGATTGTGTCAACCGTCTAAATGTTCATGCACCCAAAAGGGACTTTCCTCAACAATAAATTAGATTTGATTCACTCTTTTGATGGGCTTACGTGCTCGATGTTCATTTGAGTAACAAATGATATGACCTATATCCTGTAAAAAGAGGCTTTTGTTCATCTTAGAATCGAAGTAAACCAAACCCTTATTTCCAATGTAAACATTATTTCTGGTGAAAAGGTGCTCCTTTTGCAGTTTTTACTTAGTAAAATAATAATAATAATAATAATAATAATAATAATAATAATAATAATAATAATAATAATAATAATAATAATAACTTGTTTATGAAAACAGTACCTTTGTAATAAGAAAAATATTTAAGAAAATGAGAAAAGAGAATACGACGAAAATGCCTTGCTAATAATCAACTTATTAAAAATCCAATCAGATGAAAAGATCGACTAGAATAAAAATGGCCCGACATACGTTTCATTTACTAAGTAAAAGTTAAGGTTTCATTTAACAAATTTAAAATCGGTTCATAAAGATGAATGGCAGCGCACCCCACAAATTGTGTTAATAATAAAGATCACTAATCTTGAATATGTAATTCAAATTAATAATTGATTTTAATTAAATTTTTACATTATTTATAATTTTTTGCTAAATGGATTACAAAATTTTCAAGTTCATAAATAACCCGAAACATAAGAATTAATCCTTGGCACACGTTTATGCTATTGAATTCATGCCCGGCCATATCTTTTGTGTGTGATAAAAGGGAAACTGGCACACTTGCCAATGCCCATTCTCTTCTTAACATGGCATGTGGATGGGCAAAAGAAGACAATGGGCATTAGATCGTAAACAATTGATTGATATTGATTGGACCACGAACATGCACTGCTAGATACCTGTAATTTGGGTCATCGCTTAACGTGAACCCACGTAGCAATTGAAACAATGGAAGCCACGTTGAATTAGATCAAACCCAAGCAAGCCAATAATCAACGTTTGGAAAAACTCGATCCAATAAATTATTGAATCAAAGAACCAAGACAATCGCAAACAATATCTTCACTGTGTGATCACGAAACTTACGAACCTTAATTGAATTGTTGAACGTCACAAGAAATTAATCCTTGTTAAGTTCAAAAATTAATTCAATGAAGAATGAGTTGAAAACAAATATGTCTCGCAATAATATCTCTCAAATTGTATGTTTTACAATGAAAAGAATGAGCTCTATTTATATGTGACTCATAAAAACCTAATTAAAATTGAATTTAAGTCTAAAGATATCAAAAGATACCATAAAAAAAAGATTTTATCTAAAATAGAAAATATTACGTAAAATTTTGAAAAATTCATGTTCCAATTTCTACTATGCGGTCACATAAGTGTAATGAATGCAATTGTATAGGCCAAACAACAGCCTCCATGTTGGTCTCAGTAAGGGACTATGTGATCGCATAGGTCTTCACCTCAACGCCCTCCTCTGCTACTTGAACCATTTTGATTCCTTTTGTTCTGTCTTCCAAATCTAATATGAAATCTGTCTTCCAAATCTAATATGAAACTTGTCGTTTGCTTTGTTGTGATAAATGTTTCATCCACTGTAGCTTGAACAAGTAATCTCATGGCTTCTTTGACCTTCTTTGCTCATGACCTAGCCATTCGCCCTACCTACATGATCAACGAATCCTTGTCCTTGCTAGCTCTCGTACCATACAAATCTCATCATCAACTTATTTTCACACATTGTCACATATAAACTTAAATCTGGAATTGAGCTGCAGTGAGCCGAGTCACCTTATATATATTATAGGTTTGAGACTCTTGTGAACCTTGCTTGAGTCCTTTTATGACAATTCTGACAATTCTAACAAGGATACTTAAGGTTTATACTTTTTTTTTTAAAATTAAATTGTCTTTTGTGACTATATACAAGTTTATTTTGAAACATTTTGTTTTGGCTATCTTAGTTTTTTAGTGACATTTTTTTCTTCCGAAAAATATCGAAGATATCAAAAACCTTTTGTTCAACAAATTACATATATTGAAATAGTGAACATTTTACATGCCCTATTTTTTTGGTAAAAGATGTATAACTTGTTCACAATTTTGTCTGCAAGAACTTGTATAGCGTGGACTTCGGATTTATATATATGATTGACTTAATGAGATTAAAATTAATGTTTCAACAAGTAGAGTAAAGCAGAGATTTAAAAATTATCATTTAATAAAATGATAGCACTATCTGAAGAATGAGCTCGACCATCCAGTGCACGATCCCTCCCAAACTAAAAGATTCATGGAGTTTTACTTTACCTTACTTCATAGAAAATTTACATAACATAAAAATTGCTTGATTGATTCAAAAGCAAGTAATAATTTAATTCCCTTGTCTTTTCATAGGATACTGGATTAGGAGATCATAAGGCGGTATCTATTATCCTTTAGCTGGTGGAACAATCACAGAAACACCTCTATAGAATAGTGGCACCATACTTATCAAAGTGGGAGAGTTCATTTTTCCAGTTGACTTCATCATCTAGCATATAGAAAGACATATCAGATACCAATAATCTTTAGATGGGCATTCTTATCTACAAGTCGAGTCATACTAGATTTTGATACTAATGAGATAGTCTTGAAGTGCAGGATAAGTAGCAGAGCTTCACCATGAAGAATCAATCAAACAACCCTCATACTTTGAGGATTTTCAACAAGTGGATCATTGGAAAAGATACAAAGGCAGGCCAGAAGTAGGAGGAATTGGTTGTAGGGACAACAATAGAAACGTGATTATGAGTAGAGTTAAGGATGAACCAGAGAAGTACAACCGATGCCTAAAATGTAGGGTTGAGAATTCCTTTTCAAGCCACCATGAAAAGCCTAAAACAACATGAATCGAGCTATGGACTTTAAACAAGTACTTGTTGGAAAGCAACCAAATACTTATATTTATGTTGCTTTTTAGATTTACAGGAACTTAAGATAAATTTATATTAGTTTTTATTCAATTTTAGGGACTCATAATCTGCATCCCCGTTCTTCTTATGCCTCCGCTATGTTAGTTACGTTATTAGATGTTGGAGCTAAATAACACTTGTTTGAGGTATTTTGACTTTAATGTTTTATCTAACAGCATTGTACACGAATATGATCATATTGTGTTAATTATAGGTTGGTGTATCTTGGATAAGAGGATTTAACATATTAGCGTTATCGGTTGTCAAAAATATATGAAATTAACTAGATTATTAATTAATAATTGAAATAGATGGAAATAGGATGAATCATAAATCCAATACAAGCATTCACATTCAATAAAATCAAAAATTACTTACTTTATTAGTATAGATTAGAAGTAGTATAAACAACCATATAATTACTCTTTTGTTGTCTCTACTCACTTGAATTTAACACTAAATGTTGAACTATATTTTAAACATTATTCCTCGTAGGAATGATATACTCAAACCTCACTATTTCTATTATTTATACAATGATATCGTACGCTTGCGGGTTTCAATGTAGCACTTAACAATACTAAAAACTTAATTTTCTAAATTCAATTTCTCATGAAGGATGGAGATCATGAAAATTTTATTTTTCTTAACAATACTAAAAACTTAATTATTTAAATTCAATTTGTACTACTGTATATCAGATCTTATATGCAAAGGTGTTGATTGAGTTGAACTAGTATAGCTAGAAAAAATAATAATAATAATAAAATAAAAATAATTAGTGTATGCAAATCCCGAGGCTCGTGCGTTGAGGGACAACCTAGTGAAATCATGTGAAAGTTAAACAATACTTTTTAAGTTGTCCATCCAAAAAAATTTATTCATATTTTAATTTACATAGTCTCTATTTGTATAATAATTTTATAAATGATTCATAGATTCAATAAAATTCAAATATTAGTTTTAACCATATATTTATACTTAATACTCATTATTATCTATATATTTCGTGGAATCCACCATTATTTCTGTTTATAAACTATTTATAATTTTTTCTCTCGGTCGCTAAATTTTAATAAATAATTTTTTCAATGGCTCTTGGTCAACTTAACAATCTCAAAACGAGAAGTCACGAAATTTTTATCAAGTCAAGCTTGAGACACATTGTTTAAATGTCAATTGTTCTCAATGAGATTTTTTTTACTATTAGTACTGTGGATGTGGTTATTCAAAAATCACCTTTTCGATACTCATTTTTAACTGCATATTCTTCAAAAATAATTTTCACATTTCAACATAATTGTTCCCTACTTTTTGATACATATTCTCAAAAAAAAAATCACTTTTCAAAAATTATATGGTACAACCACTATGTCATTTTCAGTAAAAGATTTAAGAAAAAATAAAATTCATTGAACCCATGTTTAGTGGCCACTATTTGAGAAAAAAATATTATGAATAGTTTTTAGAAGAATGTGTAGTAAAAAAGTAGGAAAACGTTTAAGTTTACATATAGAATATTTTATTTATTTATTTATTTGGTCACTCAGGTGTCATAGCT